CTGCCATGGCTGTAGAGTCCGGTTCAAGAATTGTAAGTAAGAGATCTGAGGAGATGGTACCATATATCCATTGGAGGACAACGGCGTCCAAGCGATCCCAGAGAAGAGGGTCGATGGAGTCGGCGGCATCGTCGGAATCGTCATCGGTGTCATCATCCTTGCCGGCGGATGATAAATATATATCTCACACTATATATATCTCACACTATAAAAAACTTAATGGTCATAATTGTGAATCTGTGATTCAAAATTATGATTGTGTTCAACCCCACATGTGTAAGAAGCAGGCCATCAGACTCTAGTTACTCCAAAAAAGGATCCTATGCCGCACAGCATAGTCCTTGACGCAAATCCAACGGCAGAAAAGGGAGAAGTAGGGCTTTGGAATCTGCAAAAATCGGATCTTGCGGCCTAAATTTGCTGGGCACCCTACCTGGCGGCCAAATCCTGGCAGAGGATCCAAATGAAAGAGTTTGGGTTTTGAATACATTTTCATACGTAGTATTTAAACTATCGAAAGGGCTGGTAATGGGCCGAACCGGAATTAGTCCTGATCTAGCCAGTGTCCATCCTTTGTGTCTTAGTAAAATCTAGGTCCAAACAGCATATTAACCTCCCCCGCAGTAACAAAACCAAATTATTCTTTGGACCTTTTGAAGGGCGGGTGCCCTTCATTTTTTGGTCATTTCATAGCCACGTACACCAATCACACCAAGTAAAGGACTTAAAAGTTTCAAGACATAATTGAGTTACAATATTCTTTATTTGAAAAGAGCATCTGATATGGTGGGGTGGGGTGAAGCAAATGCTCATGCCCCAAACAATCATTAATGGGAGTGATATCAATTCAGTAAGAATTTATGACTTATGTATGAATCCCATATTCTTTGGTCTTTTCCGGTGGTATTTCTAATCAGTTATAATGGGTATTTATTCGTTGGTGACATGACTTGTTTGTGACCTGGAAATAGTACAATGATTTTCTTTGGGTAAAACTATATTGACGTATCTAAAGAAACAAAGTAGAAAGATATATATGCATGACAGCTTTATCAAGCTGTTGTACTTGGCTTTTTGTGTTTGTGGAGCTAGTAGCCTCTGATTTCATGACCTCTTTTTTTATATTTGAAGCATTTAACTTCTTCATTGCATGTCCCCATTCACCTTTTCCATCCACATTAGCTGTTTGACTCTTTCTTACAACCAATTTTGTGGTTTGGTAAGGAGACAGTTAGGTTATCTTAAGTCACTTGAAAAGGTAATTAGATTACAATATCTTTTCTAAGAAAGCTTTTTCGATGGCCTTGCATAGAAATTAAGTCAAAAAGTAACTACCTTTTCTTCCCATATACTCCTTTTGTATATGGAGTTTTTTGCTTAACATGAATAGATCTATTAAATATCGTTACTCCTTTTAATCCGTAGACTATGATTACATAGGGGCGGATCCAGAAAATGTAGTTAATGGGGGCACCATACTTATTCACTAAGAGTCCGGGGTTGGTTGATTCTGCTGACTTATAAAGAAATTTAATTTTTAAAATATATATTATTAATAAAATAAAGAAAAAATCATATGAAAAATAAGTATAATGATCCATTACAGTAACTTCAGCTAGAAAAGTAACTTGAATTTACTTATTTTAATTAATACACAACTCAGAGCGTGAAATCAAAATTTACGTGTTTGGTGAAAAAGTTGATTACGACATGATCAAGACATTGCTATCTTTGTGGTTGTAGCAGATTTTGTCACCAAATGGTTCTAAAATTTATGAAAGATTAAAATGAAAACATATACATTAATGTTAAGAGATGGAAGTTATAACCTTCATCAAAAATAAATTGCTCAAAATAGGACTAAAATATATTCTACGTACAAAATTCTAAAATAGGACTAAATATGTTTTCTTTCCTATAAGATGACTTATTTAGTACTATTAAAAGAATAAAAAATAATAAAAAAAATATGAGTGCATATGTCTTATGAGTCTTATTTTTCTTTCTAAATATGAGTGCATAAGTCTTATTTTAGAGAAAATAATAATGATAATTTTATTTGAGATTTTTATATAAATTTGAATCCTATTGAGAGAATTATTATCTCTTATTCAAATACAAAGTAAGATTTCACGACATATAGGCTGCCTCTTTGCAACTTTTGCATTTGAAAATGTTATGAAGTGTTTATTGGGCGGCACTCTTTTTTTTGTTGGGGGCACAAATGTTAATTGACAAAATGCATAAACAAAATTAACTAAAAAGTCAAATGTTATTGGGGGCAAGTGCCCCCATTCCCAATAGGGTGCATCCGCCCCTGTGATTAATGGAGAGTTAATGGATCCGTTGGATATAAATGATCAGACCGTTGGACATTGGCATTTATTGGTCCATGAATTGTCTATTTAACAGTGCAAAACGTTGGACATTTATTGCTCACAATCCGAAACCACTTTGAACCGACCTAAATCGGAAATGGACTCCACTCAAAATATTGCCCCAAATTGACCATTTAATACAATTTTAAACACATTTTCTCAACATTTGTAGACTTCCATGGATCCTTCTAGTTCGTTCCACCAGTCTTACCTTCTATCATCATGATAAACTTGTAGTATTCTTAGATCTATCTAATACGGAGTAATATTTTAGAACTACTGCATTTAATTCTTCTATACCTACTGCTTCTAATTCACAACAATATAGAAACTAGGGCTAACTAATTTAATATTTTCTCATTCAAGACTTTCATTGGACTCATTAATTGGCATGGGCTGAAGCAAATATAATACGAAGTATTCCAATCTAACACAAAATACGCAGACAAGCAGTACTACTTAGTAGAGCATAAGGTAAGATGTAAACATAATTATTAACAACATGTCATATTTAATATTTAATAATGTAAGTTCTAATCTTCTTCATCCAAAATAAAAATATTTATTTAGCGATGGTAATTGTAATTTAATTGCGCAACTCTCTTAGCGATGTTTAGAGGTTATGTATTCCTCATCGACATAACTGACACTACAGGATGGCTAACTTTCATTGCTCATGAATTCCAATTTCCAAAACTTATTTGACCTAGTTTTTCTAGAATGTTAACTCATGGTATTGGTGGCTCAGAGTTTGCAGTTATTCGCCATCCTCTTGAGCTACCATTGGATCTCATTTGTTCGCGGTAGAGTTTTCTTGATTGTTTGCCAAATCAATTCCCCATTTTTGGTGGCTAACTTTCTTTTGGTTTGAGTTTTTTTCGTTCTAGTGGCAAGTGCAACAAGAATGTTAAACTAGATAACAATATTATTATCGGCGTTAACTATCTGAAAGGGTCGGTGAGACCTTTTTCAAATCCATTCATTTGTTTCTTTGTTATCGTCATAACTAATAAATAATTTACTTTATTTAAAGAAACATGTTGTATTTAAGATCATAATTCATAATTCAGTAAATATATGTGATTAAATTTTAAAAGGAAAATGGAAACTAAGGATGTTTTCTTTTGGATTGAAATTTGCTGGTCTGGTCTGGTGATCTGGTCTGATCTGGTCTGGTCTGGTCTAGTCTGATCTGGTCTGGTCTGGTCTAGTCTGATCTGGTCTAGTAAACGTCTGGTCTCTGTGTATTTTATAACTACGGAAGTCAAGTCTGGTCTGATCTAATCTGATCTGATCTGGTCTGCGACTGAAAACAATCTAAAAGAAAACATCCTAATAATCCAACCTTTTAACATTATTCTTACAATAGTCTCACCTTTTCGTTATTCAAGAATAATCCAACTTTTGCACCCCATTTTCATTCGTTAGTCCCTGACCGGTGACCTGCTATTCCAAGTTACTGTATTTTCTTATCTTTGCAAAGATAATAGTATAATGGTTTGCAAAGATAAGAAAGTAACTTGGAATAGCAGGTCATCAACCGGTCATGGACCACGATCATGGACCAGTGAATGAAGATGAGATGCAAATGTTGGATTATTCATGTATAGCGAAAACGTGGAACTATTGGATTATTAGTTTTCATTTTCCCAATTTTAAATTTTAAATTACTTGAAAGACCAAAATATTTTAAAAACATTAACACGCACGTAGTGTTACTAGTATATAACAATACGAAACACAATAAAGTAAAAATAGAGACTGAAAAGTAATTAAAAATTCATATTCGAATAATGAGATTATAAGAATAAACCAATATCTGTATAATGTGTGGATGATATATATGTTCAACACTGAACAAGATATGGTCAACAAAATCGGAGAAACAACTAAGGCAATAATTCTCTAAAAAATACTAAGACAAAAAACGAACAGGGGAACTGTATCAGTATATAATTTATGCTGGATAATCCGTTGTTTATCGTATCTAATACCACGTATAAAGATAAGGCAGGATTCGATTCTCTGCATGTTGTACCATCAGATTAGCATGAGGAAGCTCTTAACTCTATGTTCGGACGGACCGATTTCACCCTCTTTTGCCCGGAAAATCTCAACCGTCCAAAAGTCCGCGTTTGACCAGATATTGGGCATTTGGGCAGATTGCCTTGTTGGATTATGCGGAGTAATTAAGACGTGATGCTTTTTTTAAAATTCTAAGACAGGGATTGGGATTAGTACAAAAATTGATTTTGTTTTGTTGAAAAAATAGCACATTCAAAGTGTGTACTCTGTACGGCGTCGTACAGCACCTTAGATCTGATTTTCCCTTTGAAAATCTATTTGATTTCACTTCTTTTACATTGTTTGCTTGAATCAGAAATTTAGCTAATTGCCTAATTCAGACACAATGAATGTGGTCATACCACATTTGAAGGGTTCTAAAGACATTTTAAGTGGAAACCCTTTTTTTCTTTCTTTTGTTGATAGTGGAAACTTTTAGCGACGTGTTTGGTTGAGCTCAAAAGTTAGGATCTTTAGTTAGCTTTTGCACGAGCATATTAAGGACTATGGTGTTGAAGTATTTGTCCCCAATATGTTAACCCTTTTAGCTAGGACAGAAACGTAACCCAAAATTTAATACCAAGTATGGATCAAAAGTCAAAACCAAGTCCAATTGTGCTTTGTAAGTGATTGATGTATTTGTCACACAAGGAGAGAGTATAAAATATTCAAAACACAAACAAAAGCAGGCTGTTTTTTCAACGTGTCAATGTATGTATTGCTTGACTATGATCAGCACCGAGAGCTTCTTCGTTCATCAGTGTTTAAATACATTTCTGCTGCTCAAATTAGGAATGATGATGAAAGGAAAACTGTGGAAATGGCAAACTTATATAGAAGCAACCGGGAATCCGGGATCGCTCTCTGTTGAACTATACAGACCTAGAGGTGCCATTACTCAAACCAACCTGCAATCTCGTGGAAGATCGAGGCATTTCTTCTTTCTTGATCAGCTTATGGATTCAGAAATGCTTTGCAATGATGGACGCCACGATTTAGACCCTGCCCGGGAAAAGCTCGGCTGGCCGGGCCTCACCCGATTATGTCTTTCAGATCTTTTCGCCTGTAAATTGATGAGTTAGTCACATAGAGTTCAATATAAGAGATTCGAATTATAAGAAGGGGCTTCTCCTAATATATTAGAAAACTATAACTTGTGGGCACGCATCTAACTATTGTTACCTTATGTGTACACCAATAATATCATCACGGTCATTACTGTATAAAGCTGATCATAACCATATTCACTAATGTTGTTTGTTTTTGAAAGTATATTCACTAATGTTGTTATTATTATCCGATGCATATTAAATGTAACATTTTTGTTCACTATCAATATTATAGTTATATATTGGTCAACTTAAATCAATTTCTCATTTGATCTATTTATTCTGCAAAGAGCATTGACTTCTAGACTCAATTTATTAATTGTGTAAAACTAAGTAACCATATATGGAGTAATAAATTAATTCATCAATTAGTAAAGCATGATAGAAAAGTTTTATGGAGTGAGATTAAGCCCCATAATTGTCATTGTTACATGTTTTTCCTCATGCATGTCATGGAAAAATAAATTATGATAAGATAGTTTGTATTCTCTGTTCTTTAAAAATATGATGGATTATATGAAATCATCATCCCAAGTATGCACTTCATAAAACATGATACGTTGTCTGATCCAACCTTTTAGTGATTCTTTTCCCTAAAAGGAAAACTGTGAAAATGGCAAACTCATGAATAACAATCTTATATTGACATGCAATTATTGTTAATCAAAATACCTGATTGCTCTGCTCCCGTTCTGAGTTTGGAGCTTCAACATCACATCTTACAGCATGTTTGTTCGAATCTTCTTGCATATTATCTTCTGATGAAATCTTTTTCTTCATCTTTGCATTCTTTTTAGCCTTCAAAACCTTCATCACCTCTGCAAGGATCAACAGTAATATTTACATTATTACTAATTATTAATAATAAATAACCTAAGAGAACAAGTGAGTTTTTAATCCTTGAAATGTTGTATGAGAGTACCATTCAAAGCATAGTCGTCTTTCATTTATGCTAAATCGCATTACTTGTTATATAAGCATGTTTGATGTAACTAAGTAAATACTTCACCTCAAAGAACATGTGTTTTTACCACTTTGTTAAGGTACATATTGATTATATACACTTACTATGGCCAATAAATGTAAATGATTATGAAAAGATAGATATTTTGTACCCCATCAGAAAAGCAAAAGTCTAAATGAGACACTTCTAAAGGCGTGCACCACTGCACTATACCAATGATCCAAGTATCCAGCACTATAATTGTGTACAAATAATACCCATAAACCACAGTACTCTTCTGTTCATAAATGAAGTTTGTGTTCACTAGTCAACTGAAATCCTCTGTTGTACATAGTATAAGGGTTGGTTTGCAACTCCTTTTAAAAAAGCACTTCTCAGCTTTTGGCTTTAAAAAAGCACTTATTTTCCCAAACACTACAATTTTTATTTTTCTCGGCTTCCGCGTCAAAAGTGCTTTTACTTTTTCTATTACACAAAAAGCACTTATTTTACCAAACACTACCCACTTTTACTTTTCAAAATCACTTTTTTCTCAAACAATATCAACTTTTATTTAATCACTTCTCCTCATTTCATTAAAAAAAGCACTTTTTTAAAAGCAGAAGCTGTTGCAAACAGATCCTAAAACAAACTTTTATCATACCCCCATTATATTTTTTTAGGTTAAACAGTGTTTATGATAATACAAAGTCCTGTTTTTGAGAAACAACTAAAATAAAAAAGTAAAAGTTGGAACAAATATACTTAAGAACTATTTCCTCCGTATTATACTCCACATGGCTTAATAATGACAGTTGAACTACTACATTATATGACTCAACTGTGAGAGTATTTTTATTCTAACTCGATCAAATATACAGAGTATATGTATATCGCTAGAAAATAGACTATAAGACTAATTTTCTTCCAAGTTTATCATTTTTTCATGAAATTATTCCAAAAGGAAACGGAGGGTGATTAGCTCTTTAAGGCATTTTTATTAGTATCTCGTTTTGAATATGTAAATAAGAAAGCACTAAAACATGGGAGAAGTTTAACATAAAAGTTAATTACTCGAATTCTAAGAAAAATAACAAAAACTTTCTTAAAGAGACTCCTACTTTCGGAAGAAATTATGACGTGAGAAACTGTGTTATTAAACAATTCGTCATGCTTTACTCCATTAAAAACTTGAAATAGGAACTTTAATTTATTTATGGTAAAATAAACAGAGTAGAGATTACCAACCTTGATTGGTGATCAGCCGATAAGCTCTGCCGAGGACCAAGGTGTCAGTAGGGCGGAGGAGCTTGACGCGGGTAAACCGGACGACTTTCTCGACGGAACCTTCCTCGGTGGCGCCGCCGCCGCCTTCGTTGACCGGCAGAGGAATGATGAGAGAAACGTAGTGGCCAGGGTTGAGTTTCATGACCTCGCTGGCCTTGACCGGCCAATACATGCGCTCCAGCTTACCGCCGGGGTGCTGTATAACGAGCGCGGCCGCGTCCACAGCCTGGCAATTTCCCATATCTGATTGATTTCTGAGTCTCTCTCTAATCTCTCTCTATGAGGTGATGGAGGTGGGGGGAGAACAGAGGAGGAGGGAGGAAGGATTAAGATAGATAATGAGATGTAGGTGTTGGTAGCCCCACCACCCCCGGCCCCCCGCTGGATGGTGAATGGGTGTCGCTCAGTCACGCTCCCGAAATGAGCATTATACGTGTACCGCTCTATCTTACTCGGCTTTGTTTTTGTTTTCACACCAAAATGCACCGCATTTGTCCGTTGTAAACAAATACTACCGTCAAGGATTACTCTTGTTTTTACTCGGACATAACGAGTGGAGATTACACCAAATCACACTAGTTTTCCATAGTTATTCCATAATTAACTTCTCATTTCGCTTTCACACATATTGAGAAAATGAATGCACTGAGGGTAAAGTTTATTGTTTTCACACTGTCTCAACACTGTTTGACACTGTTAATAGAATTATACTAGGACTACTATTGTACTTTGCATTAAACTCTTATAGTATAAATATATCTGCCAGGGCTCCTTAGAGAGCAACCTGTTTCATTATTCTCACATGGTATCAAGAGCACAGGTTATACCCTAAATTTTTTTCGGCTCTCTCTCTCTTTATTTCGCCGCCGCCGGTGAGCACAGATTTTCTTCAGACTCTCGGCCAAGATGTCTTCTTCAGCCTCGACGTCTTCCACAGCCACCAGCTCGACGACGACAGCCCCTTTCACGTCGTCGGCCACCGTCAGCAGCATGACATCCACCGGCTCTCCTCTTTCCTTTGGAACGCTGCCGGCAATCACCTCCGTTTCTTCCGGTGTGACCTTTTCTTCCAATTTTGCGTCACCAAACCGGACTTCGATGCCATCATATTTGTTTCCGAATATGCCTCCTGCGTTTACTTGGTCTGCTTCTACTCCGGTTCAGCCGATTACACTTGATCCTCCACCATTCTCGGCACCTACGTTCGGGGGTCCTACCTTTGTTGGGTCACCTGGGGTCTTCTCCACTGTGCCTTCTACGCGTCCGACAAATGCCCCCACTGGTTCTCCCCTCGCTGAACTCGCTCAAACTATCTCTCACGTGGCAACTAATGTCACAAATATTGTGACTACTAAACTTTTGGCAGTAGAGGATTATACAACTTGGCGCACTCAGTTTGAATCCTTCTTGGTCTCCCAGGCTCTCCTTGGCATGGTAGATGGCTCTATTCAGGTACCTCCTACTTATTCCATAGATGTGCAAAATCGTCCAACTCCAAATCCCGATTTTTCCACTTGGTTACGAATTGATCAAACAATCCGTTCATGGTTATTTGCAACCCTATCACGGGATGTACTTATCGATGTTCGTGATTTAAAACATTCCTATGAAATTTGGGAACGATTGGAGTCTCGTTTTATGTCTGCCAGTTTAGCACGATCTATGGAACTCAAGAATCTGTTAAATCACATTAAAAAGAAACCTGAACAATCCATGGATCAGTATTTACGAGAAATTAAGATTTTGGTAGATGATCTAGCCATGATAAACTGCCCGGTGCCTCCTAAGGAAGTTTTGAAAACTACAATTATGGGTCTCGGTCCTGAATATGAATCCGTCTATCAGTCTGTATCATTATTTCCGCAAAACTTTCCCTTTGAGATACTTCGGAATCATCTTCTTGAACTAGAACAGCGAGCCATCTATCTCCGCTCCCAGGATTCGTCTTCCATGCATCAGGCTTTCGGAGCTGTTACTCTTGGTTCCGGACAGCAGGCTGGTTCGACGGCACTGAACCCGCAGCCGCACCAGCAGAACCCGGTCGGGCATCAGCAGAACCCGGTCGGGCCACCACGACAGCAGAATCAGTCTCAGCGCGGACGAGGCCGCGGTCGCGGTAGGGGTCGCGGTAACAGAGGCAGAGGCCGTGGACCACCATATGGACACCAGCAGGGGTATATCTATCCTCCCGGTCAGTATGTTTATCTCCCCGGAGGGGGTGGTCAGTCAGGTCCAGCCGGATATACTACACATGCAGGGGGTGTGACATCTACGGGTACTGTACTTTGTAATTCTCCTGGGTCACATTTAAATATTCATGCTTTAATGTTGGTTCTGCAGGCTTGCCATCAGATGGAGGTATTCTTGGGTCAGTTCCCAATCCCATTGTCTGTCAAATTTGTTTTTCCGCAGGTCATTCCGCTGTCACTTGTCCTTCTCGCTTTACACAACCTTCCGCTCCTGCTTTGTTGACTACTCCTGGAGAAGCTAATTCAGCTTTATGGTATCCTGATTCAGGCGCGTCTGCTCATATGACTTCCTCCGAAGGTATTTTAATTAATAAATTTCCTTACACAGGCTACAATTCTGTTAATGTTGCTAATGGTGCCCATCTCCCAATTTGTCATGTTGGTGATGTTGCTTTACCTTCTTTTGGTCGTCCTCTCACTTTAAAATCTGTTTATCATGTGCCTCAGTTAAAGTATAATTTAATTTCTATAAAAAGACTTTGTGCTGATAATAACTGTACTGTGGTCTTTGACAAAAATTCTTTTTTGATTAAGGACAAAGCCTCGGGGGCAGTGCTTCTACGAACTACCAGTAGTGGACCACTCTATCCTATCAGTTTGCCGCCTTCATCACCCTTAGTTCTAGCGTCTACTTTAGTTTCTGGCCCTGTGTGGCACCGTAGATTAGGTCATTGTGGTGACAGTGTTTTACAGTTTCTCAAGCGCAAACAATTTTTATGTAGTCATTCCCCTTTTACACATTCATGTGTCTCTTGTCGTTTAGGAAAATCGCAACGTTTGCCCTTTGTGGATGCTAGTCATAATTCTACTATTCCTTTGGAAATTATTCATTCTGATGTGTGGCAATCTCCTATTTGTTCTATTTTAGGATTCAAGTATTATGTCTGCTTTATTGATGATTACTCACGCTTTACTTGGATTTATCCCATGTGTTACAAAAGTGAAGTGTTTATGCACTTTAAAAATTTTAAAGCTTTGGTTGAAAATCTTTTTAATCAGAAAATTAAAATCTTTCAAAGTGATGGGGGAGGTGAATTTGTTAATAATACAATGCAGCAATTTTTTAATGAGCATGGCATTTACTTTCAAAAATCCTGTCCTGACACACCTCAACAAAATGGGGTGGCAGAAAGAAAACACCGACATCTTCTCGAATTAGCCCGCACCATGCTTCTCGAAGCATCCATTCCGGGTCAATATTGGGTTGATGCCATTTTTACTGCTGCGTATATTATTAACAGATTACCCTCTCCTACTCTTCAAGGTTTTTCTCCTTACCAAAAACTTTTTCATCGAGTTCCGGATTACTCCTTTATGCGTGTGTTTGGTTCCGCATGTTATCCAAATTTTTCGGCCACCTCAGCTAATAAATTATCTCCTCGGTCTGTCCAGTGTGTTTTTCTTGGCTATGCTTCTGGTTATAAGGGTTATCGTTGTTTTGATCCTACCTCCGGTCGTGTCTATATTAGTCGTCATGTCCGTTTTCATGAGGATATTTTTCCTTTTCAAAATCTTAGGAACACCGGTTCTTCGTCTTCTAGATTTTCTCCATCAGTTCCCATGTCCCTAGCCGATTTTCCCATGTCTACCGTCGACCAACCACCATCTCCGCCTTCTCCATCCCATGAACCCCGGCCACCTCCCAGTTCCTCTACATCCTCGTCATCCTCTCCTCGGCCTCTATCTCCGCATGCACCGATGCCGTCTCCACCATCACCCGACAGCTCACTGTCCCGCACCCCTCCTGACATCCAGCCCTCGGCCTCGGCCGTCACCTCCCCTTCCGCATCCGTATCCCCTGTGTCCACTCCGGTAGTCAATCGTCACCCCATGCAAACTCGGGCTAAGTCCGGAATTTTTAAACCTAAACAAATTTTTAATTTAAGTACAGTTATTACTCATGCGGATCCTACTTGCTTTACTGAGGCTAATAAACATATAAAATGGCGAGAGGCTATGGCTGATGAATTTAATGCACTCATTAATAATCACACTTGGGATTTGGTGCCCTTTGACAACACTAAAAATATTGTTGGGTGTAAGTGGATTTATAAGACAAAATATCATTCTGATGGGTCTATCGAGCGCCATAAAGCTCGATTAGTTGCTCAAGGATTTAATCAACAGGCAGGTATTGATTTCTCTGAAACTTTTAGTCCTGTTATTAAACCTACCACAGTCCGTATTGTTCTTACTCTTGCTGTTTCCTTTGGATGGTGTATCCGACAACTTGATGTTAAAAATGCGTTTTTACATGGTCATCTCACCGAGGAAGTTTACATGCGTCAACCCCGTGGGTTTATTCATCCTCAGTTTCCTAACCATATATGTCGTCTCCGTAAGGCTATTTATGGACTTAAGCAAGCACCACGTGCCTGGTTTCATAGATTTAGTAGTTTTCTTCTGCAACATCATTTTTCTTGTAGCAAGTCTGATAACTCTTTATTTATTTATCGCCAGAATAATAGTATTATTTATTTATTATTATATGTAGATGATATTATTATTACTGGCAATTCTGAGTCCATCATTACCCATTTTATTTCTCTTATTTCGAACCAATTTGCTATGAAAGACTTGGGTAATCTTCATTATTTCTTGGGTATTGAAGCTACTCGTACTTCTAAAGGCCTATTTCTTTCTCAAAGCAAGTATGTTTCTGATCTACTGGCTCGTTTTCATCTCCACACAGTTAAGCCTGTTCGCACTCCGCTAGCCTCCCGTACTACTCTGTCTCTCTCTGATGGTGAGTTACTTACGGAATCCACTGAGTATCGCAGCATGGTAGGTGCATTACAATATTTAACTTTGACACGGCCAGATATTACTTATGCAGTACACTTAGTGTCTCAGTTCATGCATGCTCCTCGTACTACTCATCTTTTTGCAGTCAAAAGAATTTTCAGGTACTTACAGGGCACACGTGATCATGGTTTATGGCTACAACGGTCTACTCGGCCTACTTGTGTTATTGCTTATTCTGATGCTGATTGGGCTGGTTGTCCTGATAGCTCTCGGTCTACTACTGGCTTTGCGGTTTTTCTGGGTCCTAATTTAATTTCTTGGAAGACTAAAAAGCAACCTACGGTGTCCAAATCATCAACAGAGGCAGA